GCATCTTTTGAAAAAAAGTATAGCTCTATAGCATGAAATCCCAAAAACATTATGGTCAAAATACAAATCGGCCATTTATTCTGCCGCACCCGTTAGCATCAGATTTTACAGATAAAATCGAGTCTACTATGACCTTCTTAATAAGAAATTTTACAACTGAATAGATAGTCTATTCTATAACGGTTCCAATATGAATAAAAAGCATTGATTTGTCAATCCTAAGATATTAGAAAGAAAATAAATTCATCGTCTATTCACATAGTACATGTTTTGAACCAGTTTTATGTGTCAATTTCTTCGTTTTACATCACGTGATGTCATTTTTCTTTTTTTCTTTTCTGTAGTCGATTAAAAAAAGGTGAAATAAAATATGCCTTGTCATTATTATATAACAAAAGTTTTTAACGTATTGTACACTGTCTTTGAAAAATTTGATTCTATTATATGGATGATTAAATAATTTTATGACAGAAATCCATTTTTCATAAATTTATATTAGAAAAATGATATTATTACTATTACATGTGCATCTCATGTTCACATACGCTAATATATTACTACTTTTGTTCTCTTTTATACATGAAACTATTTTTTCTTTTTCTTTCCAGATTTTGCAGTAAATCTAAATTTGTCGTGTCACTCTTACACGTAAAATTAAACGAAATAATGTTGATGGACACACCATTGTATGATGATGATAGTTCATTGTTTACATCTTCATCTTTAAATGATAATTTACAATTATCAGACAATAACGAGTATACATTTCCATCATTAGACGATTTATCTGAATTTGATAAAGGACATTTTACAATGAAATTATTAAATGATACTAATGATATTAATGGTCAGTTTTATTCTATTAAACCTGAACATCTTCAATCTAAAATGTTTGCACAAATGTTAATGTATCGTCAAAAAAATTTGTTTACCGATGTAACATTAAGAATAAAAGATCGTACAATTCATGCTCATAAACTTGTTTTATCAGCTGGTAGTACTTATTTTGCATCAATGTTTGATAATTCTTTAATCGAATCACGTCTTGATGAAATTAATTTAACAAAAACAATTTCTTGTCCATTGACACTTGATTTGATCATTAATTTTATATATTCATCAAAAATAATTCTTAATGATAAAAATGTTTTAGCATTATTAACATGTTCATCGTGTTTACAAATTGATGCTTTATTAGATATTTGTATATCTTATTTAGGTGATCATTTACATACATCTAACTGTATTGGTTTATTACTCTTTGGTAAACATTATCAATGTAAACAATTAGAAATAATTGCTCAAAATTATATTTATAATCATTTTGAAGATGTTGTTAGAAATGAAGAATTTTTAAATTTAACAGCCATTGATTTACATAATGTGATAAAAAATGATGAACTCAAAGTTTCATGTGAATCAATTATTTATAGTGTAAGATTTTAAATCTCTTCATAGCATGATTTTAATATATATATATTTTTTTAGGCTGTGATGCAATGGGTAAGTTTTTTTTTATGGTCAATGAAAGGAAAGTAATCTTTTCTATCATTTTTTGAATAACTTTTAAATGATAAAATAGCCTGAAGTTTCCATCTTTTGTAATCTAAAATTTGTACACATCTTGGTTTGAAAAATGTACTTAAGGGGGGAGCGGCATCTCCTAACATACCCTCAAACTTTATCAGTTGTAGAAGACACCTTCGCGAGTATACGTGTCCAACTCACGCTTTCGATCAGTTTGGCGACGAGGTGAAATTTTTAAAAATTGAAAAAGTCGATTTTGCACCTGGTGCAAAAAGTATTTCTTGCGCAGCCGCACACGTCAACGAAGCATTTTGGAAAGTTTATGTCAATTCAAAAGTTGTTCACTGCATTCATCTCTACCAGATGACATAATTTTGCTTTTCCCAAAACTTACTAATTAGCAATTATTTTAGTCCATTTTTAGAAATATTGGATTTCTAAGCGGTTTATTACTGTGCCCACACAAGCCACTTTTTAAATAACTTTTGGCTAGCAAAAGTTAGAGAATTGCGGTTTTCGTAATTCGACGGCCAAAACATAGCCGCATCTTAATGTAACACATGAATTTTTGAAAATGTTTTTAAAAACCAGTTTCTAGGAGATCTCTGGAAAGCTGAGGCATAACTCTGAAATTCAGTTTTTAAAAACATTTTCAAAAATTCATGTGTTACATTAAGATGCGGCTATG